ACATGTTCTCATAAATGAATGTTATTGTAAGGAAAGTGGCAAGTTTCCAGTGGGAATATTTTGTGGTGAGTTAGTTTGGAATGGCTCACAGTTAATTTTAAAATGAGCATCCTTTAACTAATTAAAACCCAATATTTTTATCATTAATTTTGGATGATTTTCACATGTTATGCAAACTATTAGGAGCACTAATATTCATTTTGACAGTACTCTTTTATATCCAGTGTTTAGTCGCTGAAGCAGTGCATCATCTCAAGTGCTTAGGCTGTCTTCAATGAGGATCTCACAAATTAATTGAGTGGATATCCTCTATGTGGAAGATATTACCATAAGGTTATTTTAATTTTATTATGACTATTGCTTGGTTTCTAAATAATTATGGCAAAATTTGCTCTCAGATTAAACAAAAGAGGAATTGTTGTCTCTCCCATGTGTATCAGTTACATTTGCCACAAAACTGTTATTAATCTTAGCATTCTGACAATATTTTTCTATTGATCTGGAGTAAAATAAATCACTTAGTGCAGGAATCCCCAACCTCTGGGCCACAGACTGATACTGGTCCGTGGCCTGTTAAGAACCAGGTTGCGCAAGCTAGTAAAGCTACATCTGGGCATGCATGGGATCTAGGTAGCGCATGAAACTATCCTCCCCCTCCTGGTCTATGGAAAAATTGTCTTCCATGAAACTGGTCCCTGGTGCCAAAAGGTTTGGGGACCGCTGACTTAGTGGAACAACATAAGAAAGGCACAAGATGTTGGAAACAATGTTGTATATGTCTATTAGGCAATAAAATAATGTACAGTTGAAATCTACTTTTAGCTTCAAAGACTTTTTAGAAAATTTACCTGAAAAGCTGAGATAAAACTGCCAAATGTGGCTGAATTGGAACTTTTTCTGGCCTTTCTCTGACCTTCCAAATTGTAATTGTTATTTTATAGTTCTAGAGAAAGCATGTCAAACTGCCGGCCCATGGGCCGGATGCGTCACGACGAAACCATGCCTACCCCATTGCCAGCACTGGGGGAAAAGTCGCGATACATTGCGTGATGTCACATGACGTTGCAAGTTTGACATGCTTGCTCTAGAGAATTCAGAAAATCTTATTTTTCACTTGTTTACCTCTGATGCTTGGCAATTTTAGTTGCTATGTTATTTATACACTATGAATATTTTGTATTTTAGAATCGTTAATAAGATTACATCATTGTCTGGACAACAAAAGCTAATGGCTTCATGATATTTCCTTTTCCTGATTGCTGTCTCTATTCCTGCTGATAGTTTTGCTTGCTTTGTTTGTTATTTAGACTGATGTTCCTTTCAAATTGACAAGCCCAATTCTAATGTTAGCAGTCAGGTCTTATAATGACTCTACTGCTGTTACTTGGAGAGTAGTTGTGCCCATATTGATTAAGAGTAAGGTATAAAAGCATAAATCATGAGTAGCCTCACTTCTGGTTTTGCCTGTTAAATAATAATTATCTCTTGAATAGTAAAGACAGAAGAAAAGTAGTGAAAACTGGGGAATCAGAAGATGAAAATACTGTCAATATAATAGGAACAATTGTTAAGCTCATAAATGTCCTTTAAAAATGGGAATATATTCACAGTTTAAAGACATAGACACACACATATAAAATAAAAAATGTGTAAGGAAACTAAAAAAGAGACTTTCACTAAGCAAGGGAAGCCCATAAATGTATACTTTAGCTTAGGTATGGTACAATTATATGGTTTAAAGTTTCAAAGACTTTCTGATACATTTTTATACCAGATGTCAATTAACAATATAAATTGTTATTTATGAACATATTGACATCTGGTATAAAAATTAGAATATTGTAAAAGAATTTTGTAAAAGTGTATTAAATATGTTAATATAGAAAATTATCTTCAATAACATGAAACACAGATTTTTTTTGAAAAAACATTTTAAACATAAGATATTTCAGCTTTAAATTACATTTACAGATGGAATTAACTAAATTGTCTATAGAGTTAAACTCCTGAAAATATTTTTTAAAAATTAAAAAACCATTGATTTACAACAGATACAAAATGATCAAACTTCTGTTTTAGTATTTTTTTAACATAAAATGTATCTTGTAACTTGGGAACCAGTTTGTTGTATCAGTAACAAAAGAATATTGTTACCTTTCTACCTTTTGAGTTCTTGAATGGTTTTGGTCATAAAATCATATCCTACAAGGAGTTTGTTTCCCATCTATCCTAAATATTACTATATATTGCAGGGAATCCTCCAGGCGGTCAACAAATCACAGAGGCCATACACACATTAGCCAAAGCCCTGACTTTTTTTAAACGTGTATTAAATGTGTGGTGCATATAAAAAGGAACAAGACTTTAGTTAAAGCTGCCATCTTGATTTTTTATTATTATTCTTTTCCTGCAGATGCCCCTCCATTTGTGATCATTTTTGTAGTAGTTTCAAAGTTCTGCTTTAAATTTTGACTTGTCTCGATGGTACGGGGAACCATGATTGCTTTCAATCTGGCTCTGGCATCACTAATTTCAGTCTTGACCTTAATTAGCTTTTATTATAAAAATGGAGACAAAGCACCTATCATTAATTGCTCCACAGAAATGTGTGGGAAATATATGACACTAAGTGCCATACCAAAAAAGTCTTGGATGGTAACTTAGAAATTCCGCACATTGATAAAATTACATCTCTCAATTGCAAAAGGTCACAGCTTGTATGCATACATATATTATGCCACTTCATTACAACATGCTAAGTTCTTGGGAAGAACCTGATGCATATGAAGGTCAACACTGACTAAAGAACTTGCAGCTGTGACTTCACATTGTTGTGAACAGATAATAATCTGGCTGACCATGAGCCCATTCATAATAAAGAAAGCACTGTTGATGTACTTCTTGAAAGAGGAATGTATGTATGTATGTATGTATGGTATGCTATATCATTGTTAAGTGAAGTTTTTTTAATGGAAAAAATAACCACTTTTTTTTACATTTATACTGAAGCTACGATTGATGGAGCAGTAATATAACTAGTGTGATGGCAGTAATATAACTAGTGTGATGGTTAGAACTTCAGTGGCAAACTCAGAAGAAATCGATACATGATGTCTATAAAGGACAGCTGCTTGATGGTGGTTCTGCTAGAGCAGTGTTTCCCAAACTTGACAATTTTAAAGCATGTGGACTTCAACTCCCAGAATTCCACAGCCAGCGTTGCTGGCTGTGGAATTCTGGGAGTTGAAATCCTCATGCCTTAAAATTGTCAAGTTTGGGAAACACTGTGCTAGAGAATGATGATCTAACTGCGAGCAAAAAATCTATGTGCAGTGGCATTTCAGCTTTTGATGCTTAATAGATAAAGCATATTTTAATTTTAATTTTATTTTTATTTGGAGGATCATTATTTAAAAGAAGCTATTTTATTCACATTGGTTATAAGATGTAAATTCTAGTCGGTCACTTTTATTGTAATTATTTACTTGGTTAAGATGTGACTTGCACTCATTAGCTTGTAGCTGCTTCAATCTGCCCTGCTCAAGTGATTTCAAAGAATGGGACTAATTTAGTTTTTGATGGTAAGGCTGCTTACCTGAAGGGGTATAAAAGAGCGCCATGCAATTTAACATGTACTTTTCCAGTTTTAGACTTCAATGACATTAGCACACTGATAAGAATAAACTATTTAAATATACAAGAACCTTTCTATTTAAATTTCCAATTTTGTCAGTTTTCATGATTGTATTTATATAACTATGCCCTCTGTGTCAATTGTATGTAATTCTGAACCTCTCAAGTCTGACTATCATTTTAATGATATTTTAATGCTTACTATGCGGTGTTGAAACTTCAGCCAGTTTAAAATGCTAGTCTGTTGACTAAGGCCTGCTACTGTCTAGTAGTACACTTTTAGGCATGTTTCATGAAAACAGATGCAACTTGTAACCATTGTCATGACTTTCCCTGGGTTTTAAAATCCTTTTACTTCATAAAGGCAGTAAAAACCATACTTTTTCAGAGATCCTATGGACAAGTTTAATTATGTCTCATGCCATCATGAAAATATTGGTTATTTCAATTTTGATAGGTTTGTGTAATTGTTTTTGAATATGTTAAATTTATTATAAACTGCATAGAGTCATTTTGAAATAAAGCCATATACAAATATATCAACAATAACACCATCTCTTAAGAGAGTAAAAATTTATGTATGAACTTAAAAATAATTTCATGAGGAATTATTCCATGTTGTAATAAAAGGTACTACTTAGCAAGTTATCATAGGAAAGAGGGAATCTGTTACTTACCACATAGCATAAAGTTATATTCTAATTAACTGGAATGTCATTCTCATCTTGCTTTCATGAATTGGCTGTTAAAATGGATTATCTCCTTTTTTAGATATGAACATAAGCAATCCAAGTAATTCTTTTAAATGGAACAGTTAACTTACATTTCTAAGATCTGGATCACAAATTTAAAATGTTATATTGGACATTTCTATAACCTTCTCTAAGCTCGGATAGGGATTCATCATATCTTAAACTTATTTAGTTCTGATTCCTATCTAATGCTTTTGCTGATTGATTCTAGAATGATTTTTATATCAAAGACTCTCATTTGCATATGAAAACTAGAATTTGATTTACATTTCACATGGAGTTGCCACCAAAAACTGTAAATGCAGATAAATTCTGAATTTTTTCTGTTTCCATCAAGAAACAATGATTTGAAGGAAGATACGGCTGAAAATGAAAAAAAGGTGATAGTAAAATGTGAACCTTCTATTGATGTCAGTTCCATTTTCAATGTATTATATACATGTATTTCAATGCATTATATGTTTTGAACATCCAGTACCATTTAGTTGCTATCCTTAAAATGAGGCTTTTCTTTCAGCTATGAAGAAATGAATGTATTGTATAGGCATAGAACCTAGTTTCTAATATATATAAAACTATGGAAGTAATACTTTGTCTTGTTGTTTTTAAAATTAGGACATCCAGTTACTTCTCAATTGCTTCTCTTTGTGGAAGAAAAGTGAGTAACCTCCATGGAAGATTCTCAGGATTTAAATGAACAGTCAGTAAGTAAATATTTGGTTAAATTGTCACACATTTGTTTTTAATGGGATAGGTCCAACATTATGTGAGAAACTTGCTCAAACAGCAGGACTTTTCATTTTCCTTTCCACTCCTCTGTATCTCTCCATGGAAGGTCCCATAGCCTTACAGAACAGAGGGGGAGAGGTACAGAACTCTACCACTGACAGATGCAATTTTAATAGCAGAGTAACATCTATATACTTAATTTTTCAGCTGTATATAAAAATGGGCATTTGTGTTTTTATAACATACAAAGATTATACTCCATACTATAGTTAGTCCTTGACTTACAACCATTTGTTTAGTAACCATTTGAAGTTACAGTGGCACTGAAAAACATGACATATGACCATTTATTACATTTATGATCATTGCAGCATCTCTGTGGTCATGTGATCAAAATTCGTGCAAGTGGCAACCGGCATGTATTTCTGACAGTTGCATTGTCCCACGGTCATGTGATCATCATTTGTAACCTTCCCAGCTGGCTTCTGACAAGCAGAGTCAATGGAGGAAGCCAGATTCACTTAAAGACCATATGATTCATTTAATAACTGCAATGATTTGCTTAACAGTTTTTGAAAATGGGTCAAAAATAATTTAACAACTGCCTTGGTTAGCAATGGAAATTTTGGGCTCAATGGTGGTCATAAGTTGAGGACTACCAGCACATTAAAACAACATGCACAAAACTTTTATATTATTGCTATATTTGCTGACTTTATTCCTGTCCCAATACAATACTTCTCTTTTTCCTCCTCCTCCTATTACTACTACTATTACTACTACCACCACCACTACTACCACCATAATATATTTAACCAGACGTTGGACTGCTTGAATGTAATACACGATATCCTCATATCCATGTCTTTATTTTGGAGGTGCTTTTGGTTTTGAATTAAATATTCTTTAGTTTTGCTATGGAAATAATTATTCAGTTAGATATATCTCAGAATTAATAATTAGCATTCATTATCAAGCTTTAAAAGACTATGCAGTTTAATAATAGTAAGATATAATAACCAACTTAATGGATTTAATGGATTGGTTTAGGGCAGGCATGTCAGACTCGCAACGTCACGTGACGTTGCGCGACGTGTCGGAGCTTTTTCTCCATTGTTGGCAGTGGGGTGGGTGCGGTTTTGGGATGACGCATCCAGCCCGCAGGCCGGCAGTTTGACATCCCTGGTTTAGGGAGTATATATGATGTGCAATATCTATATACAAGTCTTTGGGCACATTCCAAGTGTAATTCTGAATTGTAGTCTGACAAAATGGGCAGCTCATAGGCTCCATGAAAGCTCTTTCCTTCCTTCCTGCAGTCCTTCGATCTCTCCCAGAAAATAATGCTGATTAAATTGTGGTAAAATATAGTTTTTTGTAATTTTTTTCTTTTCTTTTATAATGTTTTTAAGATTGATACACTTTTAGTAAATGCTTAGACCCACCACCACCCCATCGAAGGCTGATTTAGGTTATATAATCCCTCCCCCATAGGAAACTCAACCACACATTTTCTTTAAAAAATGGTGAGATGGTAGGAGAAAAGCAGCCTGTCACTTAAGACGTGCATATGTTTATTGAAGGCAAAACGATTGTTCAAGGTTCAACAATATTAGAAAGTTACAAGCAGTAATTTTTTCAGTATATTCACTAACATATTAAATTAATCCATGCTATGAACAATCTCATTCAATGCAGATTTGGAGAAACTGCAGAAATCTGTAGTAGCCAAATTTAACAACTAGGTGCAGCATATACATGGTAGTCCTTCAGGTTCAAAGAAGACACACTGTTATGCAGTGGCATCATTGTACATAGAGGTAGCTGTACAGTTCCTATCTAGAAATGCAGAACCTAGCACAGTTGGAGCATTGGAAGTCCATTGTTGTAATAACTGAGGATGTTATTCTGTGACACCATTCGTGGTTTTCTATTCGTTTTTGATTGTGCCTGTCTTTAAAGCTGGTGGAGGTTTCATAGCATAGGGCTCGCCAACGGGTTCTGTCAGAAGTTGCACCTTCCAGTTTTCTTAGTTGGATGTCATAGCGGCATAAGGTTTCTTTCACCACATCTTTGTAGCATTTGTGTGGTCGATCTCAAAAGTCTCTTCCTGGACTCCAATACACTCTTGGGCCATACGCCAGTCATCCATTCTAATGTCACGTCCCACCTATCTGATATCTGAGCTCTGATAATCAGAGATTCAAATGCTGGTAGACTCCGCATGATCAAAGAATTCCAGGTTCCCCCCCCCCCGGTCACATGACCGCATTTTGGACAAGTGGCATCTGCCTCACATTTGCAGCCAGCTGCATTGTCCTGCAGTCACATGGCCATGATTTTCAACATTTTTTGCCAATTTCCAGCATTTACTTCCAATTTCCAGCAAAAAATGCCCATTGGTAAAAACAGCTTCACTTAATGCACCATATCCGCAAAAATGTTGTAAAATTATTTACAATTACATGGTGACCTGCTTAACAACTACCAGACTTACAACCCTAATTCCAGCTCATTTTTAACTTAAACAATAGATTCAGTAATTGCAAATAATATGTTCATGATAATATATAATTACAGTTTACTTAATTTGACAATAATGCTGAGGACAGAACATTAATATCATACATGCACATTTGTTTTATTTCTTCATTCTTCTGTAGATGAAGGAATGATTACCCAGCATATCTTTAACATCTAAAAAGAATTTCATAGTATTGTTACTACTGTGATTCCCTGAAAGTAACCCCCCCAGAAAGTAAGCCCCAGCTTGATATAAGCTCCCTGTGAAAGTAAGCCCTACTTTGGGGTGAGGGCAGGGGTAGGGGGGAGTGAAGCTGCCCCATGCGCCCCGCACCCGCTTACCTTACTGGTAGGGACTGCCACACCCAGGCCTTCCACAACATTTGCTGTTGCTTGCAGCAGGATGCCACATGGTGCTTCAGGCCAGCAATGGTGTGAAGCACCATGCGTGAAGTGCCATGCATCATGCCCTGAGGAATGGCAATGCCGTGAGGAATGGCAATGCCATGCGTCGTACCGTGGCTCTGGCAGTACTACTGGTAAGGTAAGCAAGGGCATCTGGGCGGTGGTGTGGCAAGCTCTCCAGCTCCATAGGAAGGGGCAGCCAGCATGGGTGCTGATGGCAGGACACCCGCCCACTTCACCACCCTCCCTCCCCGAGCCTCCAGCACTCCACTTGCCGCTTTGGTTGGCCTGTCCGCTGTTCAGCACAGCCACCTTGGGGCTACAGGGGATAGCCTGGCAAAGGAAGGGCATGCGCCCCACCCCCATTGGTACTGTGTCTGGTCTGCCACCATGCTCTCTCTGCTGCAGTGCTTCTCCACCCCATGCACAGGACCCACCCCACCCCCATGTGCTCGCGGCCTACTGGTACCGTCAAAAAGTAAACCCTCCCTGAAAGTAAATCTTAGTGCTTACTTCAAAGCCTAAATGAAAGTAAGACTGGTCTTATTTTCTGGGAAACACGGTAAAAATCTTTCCAATTTCATACATTAGGAATTTAGCTGGAAATCTTGAATAAAGATAATCAGGAAACAGATTCATGAATAGAAGCAGGAAGACAAAAGTTTTCCCCATTGAAAAAGTTTAAATAATGGAATAAAAATCTCTCATTGTATTTCTTCCAATTCCTTGGTTTTTAGTATTAACTAACAAAGCAAAACACGAGGTGAGACCTTTCAGGCACCTCTTCTGCTATACTATCTCATTCAGCCCTCTAGTATAAAACATATTAATCTCATGGTTGTCCAGTTCTCTAGAAATATGTCCTGGAATTATACCTTTAAACTTTAAAGCTGTAATAAACTCTTTAGCTATGTCATGAAGAATTAGTATTCCTGTTTTCAGGGAAATACAGAAAAAATCCATTTCACTCTGAAAAGTATGTATATATGCATGTACAGTATGTAATTATTTAATACATGATTGTAAACGTTGGTGAAAGTTTCTTTTGCCAAAAAAATGTAACCTTTTCATGCATTGGTTTGAAGAAATAACTTCTGGATTGCTATAAGAATGCTTTGAATTAAAGCATTCTTGTGCACAAAACCCTCCCTGCCTCCGTCGGTCTGCCAAGCGGAAAAGGTTGGAGACCGCTGCTATAGGCCAATGTGATAACTTTTATCTTAGGAACCTAGTTGGGATGCATTTTATTTTTCAGCCAAATGTAGATCTGGCTGCCTTATCATGGCAATTTAATGGAAGAGTTTGGTGGACATGGCATTTCATTTGATAAGGGACATTCCTTTCTGGTCCAAGAGTATTATGAATAATTCATATTAGATTATGAATAATAAAAGTATTTCTAATTTTAAAACATTAAGTGACATTTTAAGTGATTAATAATAAATAAAACAAGCCACAAAGGTAAATACTATCAACACATCTTTAAAAAAGGGTGAGCAGAACCTTAATAGCAGGGTGGATAATAATCAATGATTTTTTAAAAAATAAATTAAAAAATCGTTTTTCATTTAAATCGGATTTTTTTTATTTTTATCAAATTTATTTTAATAAAATGCTTTTGGAGTAAAAATCTATCTAAAGATAGTTTTCTATTTAAGATACAGTAATAATTTAGTTTATTCAGCATGAAATGGAGCTTAGTTATGTAGCATGAGGCTGTATATTCTGCAATATTTACATTTCTGGTAAACTCATTCAATGAGTCCAAGCTCTGCAAGCTGAGCTAACATGCACTGCATTGATTCCCTCATACAATTTCACAGTAACCATGAGATAAATCATAAAACAAAGTTCAGAAATATTCCTTTATCCCATTGTTTTGCAAATCTATGTACACTGCAAACTGTATGATTGTTTGTAGAGAAATGCATCTGCTCTAATTGAGTAGTTCCCCAACTATGTCTAATTTACCTATTAACCTAAAATAGGTTCTGATATCACCATTTTACTAACCTGACTAACCTACCAGCAAGAATGAATCCTTACA